CTGAACTCCTGGAAGGAGACCAAAGGTTGGGAGTCTCCTTCATGTCCCCGGCCCCAAGTACAGGGCCAGGTATCTAACAGGTGCTGAATAAATACTTGCTAAATTTATTAATCAATAGGTCTCAGTTTTCGCCAGCCTCTAAGAGGACTGCCAGGGCTTTGAGATTTGCCTATAATGCCTGGAAGTAAAAGTAAACCAAGAAATATAGGAGTTTTGCTTTCATTTCGTACAAAGAAATCACATTTACCAGCAGAGAAGACAATTTTTTGCAGGAAGTAAAAACTCAGCACCGTGCTCTAAGACAGCCTGAGGGTCGTTTAGGAAGTTTAGGAGGATGAGGCTGCTCTGTGCGCGTCAAATGAGGAGTGGCCCGAGAAGTCCAAGACACAAAGTTAGGGCTCAGGGGAAGGGCGCACTCCTAGTCACCTCAAGGTTGCAGGACCATTTCAGGAGGCAGAATCAGTTTGTTGCTCACGACCTAAAATGAAGTAGGCCACAGATTTTTACTCAGTTGAAGAGGAAGTACATCAGTCACAGCTGCCAGCAGAAGACTCAATGACAGTGACTCAGCCCCGGCTGTGTGCTTCGAACTTGAACTTGCACATGAATCACCAGATAGTCAGTCTTGTTAAAATGCACACTCTGATTTGGTCTATCAGGGGGAACCCTGAGTTTCTGCATCTCTTAATAAACTTCAAGGTATCCCTAATGGAGCTGGCTTTATAGATAGTGAGCAGCATGCCACAGGAGGTATTCAAGAAAAAGATGGACAATTATGGGTATCGTAGAGAGGGCTTATGCACTGATTGGGGACTGGGATTACACAATGCTCCTCGACCTCTCTGTAACAGCTGAAATCTTCCACCACCACCACCACCAAATAAAGTCACCCACAGAAAGCCAATATAGAAACCCAGCAAAGCCAAGCTGTCTTGCAGAGTGAAGGTGGGGAACCCAAGGCCCTGCCCTGTTGGCCTCCTTTTCCCCCACCCCACAGCACCTAAAGTCTCTGTAAGGTTTATTAGAAGACACCTTGGATACTATTTAATAAACCTATCTATCTTCACTAAAATGCTGAGGATTATTTCAGGAACTAGAACTGATGCTTGGACAATGAGTGACTCCATCTAGTGAGCGCTTAGCAAACCTGGATTAGCGAGCATTAAGGTGTTAAGGCGTTAAGGACAGGGGAATCTGCAGGATTTGGAGCTGCACCGTTCCATATTCAGCAAGTTTATCTTGTAAAATGTGTCAAGCCTTATTAGCTGCTTAGAGGAGTGCACCGGAGAGAACAAAGACATGAAGCTGTTCCATGCACCTTCCTGCCGAATGTACTGACAAGTCCATTGGCAGGATTTATTGACCAAAACCAATGCAATTGCATCAAGTGGGAACCAAGCAGTCCCTTCTCTTGCCGTCTCTTGCAATCACTCTGGCTTTCTCTGGCTGACTTCTGGTGCCTCCTGGACCCCTGATCTCTTCTTCCAAGGCGGATAGTAATTTTGAGAATCGATAAAATCTTGCCTAGCAGGAATCTAGGGAATATCAAATTCGAGAGCCAAAGAAAGCATGGAGCTGCACAAAGGAGGATTACACTTGCTTCAGTGAGCAGTTAGCGCTCTAAAATAATGATTTTGGCAAAAAAGAAAAGAACAGAGTTATCTCCAATTAAGCACAAAGGTATGGTAAAAGGTGTCAAGGTAGAAGAAATATATTTATTTTCGTATTTTTAATGATTCATTTGATCTATAATGATTTAGAATTTTTGATAAGCTGAATGTTGTTTGGATAGAGTATTTTCAATTTTTTTGTAAAAAGGGTTTATCTGACTGAGATTTAGGAAGATGTATTTAACCTTTGATCCTGTCTAAGGATCCAACTTGTAGGGTTGTTTGTTCGTTTTATTATTTTGGAGGGGGAGGTTTCTGAGGAGTGCCTGGTGGGAGCAGAAGACTACAAATTGGGAGATCCAACTCAGCTAAAATATTTCTTTTTAAATTAAATTTGATTTATTCTAATAAAATATATGTAAAACTTACTATTTTACATCCACAATATTGCGCAACCATCACCACTATTTGTTTCCAGAACTTTTTCCATCCCAGTTTCTGTACCTATGAAACAACGACTCCCATCCCCTCCCTCCAGCCCCTGGTAACCTCTAATCTACTCTCTGTCTCTGTGAATTTGCCTATTCTAGATATTTCTTAGAAGTGGAATCATACAACATTTGTCCTTTTGTCGTATGCTTGCAAGGTTCATCCATGTTGTAGTATATACCAGAACTTTATTCTTTTTTAAGGCTGAATCATATTCTATTGTATGTGTATATTACATTTTGTTCACCCGTTCATCTATTGAGGGACTTCTGGGCTGTTTCTGCCTTTTGGCTATCATGAATAGTGCTGCTACGGGTGTTGGATTAGTTAGTTTGGGTATGAAAGACACACTAGCAGGAGTTATCTCTAGGAAGTAGCCTGAGGAGTTGTTAAAGCAACTGGAAAAGAGTGTTAAAACACACTTTAGTAAAGTCATAAAATCTCAAGCAGTGGTGTCCCAACAGGCTCATGGACCTTGGATCTGAAACATCAGCTGTCAACACTAGATGTACACCAGAATCACTCGGGCAGTTTCCCAAAATATGTGTTCCTCTTCCCATACTCAGGCCAATTAAATGAGTATCTCTGGGCACTGATCGTTTTAAAAGTTCCCCTAGTGATTCTCATGTGATTCTGGAGCTCAGTGGAACAGCGTTTCTCAGTCTGAACCTGGATCAGCAGCATAGCCTGGGAACTTGTTATAAATGCAGATTCTCAGGCCCCACCCCAAACTGGCTAAGTCAGAAACTCTGGGTGTGCTCCCACCCTCTATGTTTGTACAAGCCCACCAGGTGATTCTAAAGCAGTGTCAAGTTCAAAGATTACTAGTCCAGAGTAAAAAGCATGGGTGACTTGTTTGCAGTATCCTCCCCTCATGTCCCTGACGCTGACATGGGTGCCCAGTGCTCTGAGGCAGTGGCCCTGCCAAAACTCAGCTAATAGGTTTTATCACCAAACAAATATCAGTCTGCATAAGATGAGGCTGTTCTTAAAGAGAGAAGTAGGTGCAGCCTGGAGGTTCTCAGGGTCTCCCTACCTGCATAGCCACTGCTTTGATTGCAAATGGTGTCTACAAAAACCAGGAAGGAGGCTGAGATCAAGTAGAAAACACAGTATACAGTCACTGCCATGATGGCTGGAGAACTCAGAGGTTCCCAGAGAAAGTAACAATCCAGAGGAACCTTAAAAGCCTCATGAGACTGGAGCAGCACAAAACAGATGCTCCGAGCTCCCTGCTTTGCTGAATCTGGTTCATTACTTAAAATCTCTTGAAATGTCTTCAAGTTATAAATTTTAATACTCAGAGTAGTCTTTGAGTATTAAATTGTGAGGCTTTGCAAAGCAGTTGAAAATAAAGTGTGGATAAAGGAAAAGTTGAGTGAATAAGTGAGTTTTCCTTATCAGAAAAAAATCACCATGGAGAGTAAGCATAAATAGAGTGGAAGAAAATATCATTGGGTGACTTTTTTCCGGTGACAAGAAGCTGTTTTTGAAGTCTGTGTTTTAATCCAAGCCCCTCTTTTTACCAGCTGGGAACTTAGGCAAGTTAATTAAATTCTAAATTTTGGTTTCCTCCTCTACAAAATGGAATCATGACGGTACCTGCCCAATCGTTTGTTTATAACGTCAGGATTGAATGAGATAATGCTAGTAAAGTGCTTTGCATTGTGCTGGTCACTCAGTGAGATCTAAATCCCACTTCTGCTATGAATACTATCACTGACATTATTATTAGCCCAGTGACTTAGAGTAACCCCTCAAAAGTATTAGCTATTATTATTATGATGATGATTACTATTACTAGTGCTACTACTACTACTACTACTAATACTACTACTACCATTAAGAATGCTGAGCCCCTCCATTAAACTCACATCAGAGGAAAGAGCCATAACTAGCCAGACATGCCAAAGTACTACTACTACTACTACTACTACTACTACTACCATTAAGAATGCTGAGCCCATCCATTAAATTCACATCAGAGGAAAGAGCTATAACTAGCCAGACATGCCAACGGTCCCCTGAGAAAAATATTCTTTCTCAAAATTCAAAACTTATTTGAATGTCCTACCTAGAAGGAGCCCTGCCTTAAACAGAACAAGATAAGTTATGCTGTTGTAGCGAACTTCAAAAATCTCATTGCAAAGGATTATTTCTCGCTCATGTCCCAGTCAAACTCAAGTCAGTTGGTATCTGTCCTCCAAGTGGTAACTCAGAGATCCAGGCAGCTTCCATCTTAAGATACATTTTTAAGAATCAAATTTAGAAGTGGCTTACACTTTGTGGCTTTCTCCTACTGATCTAGACTAGGATAAGTCTTATCTCTCTCCTCTAAGGTAATTATTCTTATATCTGTGAATCCATTTGTCATATACAATGAATTAGGGCTCAACAACCATTGTAGTGGTGTCATCTGACTGTACTAGCTGATCTACATCCCTGCACCAAAATCGAGCCTAAGCGTAATCTGAAAGATATTGAGTGGTACGATCACCTCCTTCATTCTAGAAAACATACCTCTATTAATGAAGCCTGAGGTCGCATTCTTTTTTTTTTTTTTTTTTTTTAAGGAAGAGTGTCAGCAATTGCACTTAACATCAATTAAAATTTCCTTAGGTATACAATGTATTCAGTTCACACTCACCAATGTTTATTCTTCTCTTTTCAATCTGAGCAGGAATCTCCATTATGGAAAAAGTTCACAAGAAAAACGTGTTGAAGAAGTTTGCTTTCTCTGGTTTATCCATTAATACATCTCCCACTCATCCAATGCAGGTGGCAAGCCTCGCTGAGGTGTGTCTTACCCAAAGTTATTAATGGCAAATCTGAAAAAGGTAGCTGTCAAGCCTCGATCACCGTTATTTCTTAGACTGACTCCTCCCATCCACTTTGTTGCAGGTACCACATTTGTGTAACTGTGCTGATCTACTTCCTCCCCCTGCTGGTGATCGGCTATGCATACACCGTAGTGGGAATCACACTGTGGGCCAGCGAGATCCCCGGGGACTCCTCTGACCGTTACCATGAGCAAGTCTCTGCCAAACGCAAGGTGAGCAAGGGACAGGCAGCATCTAACCCACTCTGGCATAGGTGACAGGCTGGCAAGCATATGGGCCCCAGAGCCTCAGGAAGCACAGAGGCAGTGGGCACAAAACATCCCTGGGTCTGGGGAACCGCGGAGGGAACAAGAGGAAAAGGGAGGAGAGGGGATCTTTTTTCAATGTATTTGTAACCTAGGCCTGCCTGTACAGGCGCGAGCCATTTTGCTCGCACCTTAACAGTAATTGCAAACTGTCAAGCCATTAATGCGCGCGCGTGCGCGCACACACACACGCACGCACGCACGCACACACACACAGAGCATTTAACTATGAAAGCATTGAGGAGTTATTCATTCATCTTTTTGTTAAAGTTTGGCAAAATAATACATCCACTTGGTCAAACATCAAAAAGTATTAAAAGGAACATTATAGTGACAGAGAACAGATCAGGGGCGGGGGGAGGTTCATATTGGGGAGAGGTCTGCCTATAAAGGAACAGCATGAGTTTCTTTGTGGTGATGGAGCAGTTTCACATCCTAATTGTGGTACTGTTTTCACGCACCTATCCATATAATAAAATTTTGTGGAACTACACACCCTCCAAAATGATCATGTGGAAAAACTGGCAAAATCCAAATACAGTCTGCAGTTTAGTTACTAGCACTGCGCTAATGCCGGTGTCCTGGTTTCGATCACGTTGGTGTAGTTATGTAAGATTATATCACTGGAGAAAATAAGGAACACTCTGTACTATTTTTGCAACCTTTTAGGAGTCTTAAATTATTTCAAAATGAAAAGTTAAAAAAAATATTAAGAATCTTACCATGAAAAAGCTCCCTCCTTTTTAGATGCTCCATCTGCCTTGTTCCCAAGTGCACAAGCTCATGTACTACGGTGACCACTGTTTCTTATTAATCCTTCCAAATACTGCAATGCATTTATAAGCCAAATAAACATAAATTTTCTTTCTTTTTTACACAAATAGTAAATATACACTTTCTGCCCTTTACTTTTTTCATTGAACAATATCTGCAAGACCTTCAAAATTTATATAGTTTCTCACTCTTTTTTTTTTTCTTTTTTTCTTTTTTTTTTTTTGGTACCCCTTTGCATAGTATTCCATTGTGTGATGACTAGGTAATTCTTCACTGATTTATTTAGAGGGAAGGGGTTACATCACCCGGTTGTAAATCCCTTTAAACATCTGACGCTCCCCTGCTGCAGCCAACAGCTCCCCTGCTGTCCCCTGTCCTTCCCTCCTGCTAAAATTCCAAGCAAGAAGGCTGCCCTAGCTCAGCGCCTCTCCCATCTGGTGCTTCTCCCCTTCCCAGGTCTTTTCCTCCTGAACCCCCATTCCCCCGGTCTCATTAACCTGGTTTCCTTTGTCTTCTTCAGTCATTGCCCAGAAGGATGATATAACATAGTGGTTCTTGAGCATCAGTGTGCATCAGAATCATTGGAAAGGTTAGTCAAACACAAAAATCTGGGTCCCACCCTCCAAGTTTCTGATTCAGTAAGCCTACGTGTGGTCCAAGATTTTGCACATCTGACAAGGTCCCAAGTGATGGTGATGATGCTGGTCCTGGGACCACACTCTGAGAACCACCGACATAACCCAAGTCTATTGGTACCACCTATAAAAGATCCTTCTTCTTCCTCAAAGCAGTTATTATAAATACTTCCCACCAGATGCTGCATTGTGCAAAGCGAGAGGGCAGGAGAAGAGAGAAAGTAGGCATGAGAAAAGGAGGGTGCGCTGGTGGTCTCACCTGTCTCTCCCTCTGGCCAGGTGGTCAAGATGATGATCGTTGTGGTATGCACTTTCGCAATCTGCTGGCTACCCTTCCACGTCTTCTTCCTCCTGCCCTACATCAACCCAAATCTCTACCTGGAGAAGTTCATTCAGCAGGTCTACCTGGCCATCATGTGGCTGGCCATGAGCTCTACCATGTATAACCCCATCATCTACTGCTGCCTCAATGACAGGTGAGGACTCCCCCCACATACTTTCTCTAGGTGCCATGAGACCATCTATCTATATAGTCATCAAGCAGCCAACCTAAATGAGCAAGGTTGGCTGTGAGACAAGAGGGAGAGGTGGGGAATGCAGCAAACTAATCCCCGCATTACTCAGCCTCTGCTGATTATCACCATACAGGAATATAAGCCCAGCTTATATTTTTTCTTTCCCAAGAGGAACCAGAAATCTCTATTTTTGTATGATATTTTCTGACTTTTAAACACTGGCAACTAAGTGGAGGTTGGGATGCGGATTTAAAAAAAAAAAAAAAGCCTCTGTGATTAATGAGCATAGAGCAGGTCCACTAGCTGGATCCAGTTTGTGGACTGTGCATTTGCTCACACTGCCCTATGGACCCAGTGCACGGGAGGCTGTGCGTGGAGACAGAGACAGAGTCAGAGAGAGACATGTCGAAGGAAGGTGACTGGCAGAAAGTCACCCTTCAGGCAGTGAGCTACCTGAAGGATGTTGAATTGACCCAAAGTTGGCTGACCCCACACCAGCAGAGGCAGCATAGTTCAGCAGCTGCCCTCGGTAAAGACATATTTCTCTTGAACCTAGGTTCTAATCCCGGATTTGACCTTAACAGTTGACCTTTAAATCTTGTTGGCCTTAGCGTCTCCAGTTCTCAATTAATTTTAAAAATAGTAACATGGAGTCCCACTTGGCTGTGTCCATGTGTTAAAGAGCTGATGCGGTGGTAGGAACACCCTCTGAAAGCAGGCTGTCCCCAGGGTCACCTCTCGACCTGCTCTCTCTCCAGGTTCCGGGTGGGCTTTAAGTACGCCTTCCGGTGCTGCCCCTTCATCAGTGCCAGTGACTACGAGGGACTTGAAATGAAATCCACCCGGTACCTCCAGACCCAGGGCAGCGTGTATAAAGTCAGCCGCCTGGAGACCACCATCTCCACAGTGGTGGGGAATCACGAGGAGGAGCTGGAGGAGGGCCCCAAGGCCACACCCTCATCCCTGGACCTGACCTCAGACGGCTCCTCTCGCAGCGACTCCAAGACGGTGACAGAGAGCTTCAGCTTCTACTCCAACATGCTCTCCTAGACCCCAGCGCCTTCAGCAGAGGCAGCCACCATCGTCTTTGTCTTGTTTCACTTCATGCATGAATAATTCCTTGATCTGGAAACCATCAGAAACACCCCAACACTGGGGCTTGTGAAAATGGTCAGAATGGTTTAGGGAAAACATTCCATCCCAGACTCTTCCCTGTTTTTGCCACCCCCATGCTGTGTGACCCAAGGCAAATCAGTCTCTGAGCCTATAGGATGGGAAGACTGGGCTTAATTTTCTCTGCAATTCATTCCATGATTCTGGAATGAACTTTGGCTGCATGTGAGCACTCATTTCAAGATGAATCCTGCAATGCGGCAACAGATCCAACTGATCTGTTTGCCTAGAGCCTCTGTCTTACTTCAGTACTGTCATTCTCATTATGTTCGGATCACCTTCCTTTAGCTGGTAGCCTCTTTCACTTGATAGGCTGGACAAAAGAAGGAACGAAATAAAAATCTGAATGAAAGATTTAACCCCATCTTACAGGCTCCCGTGAAAAGAAGACAAAGTGTTCCTTTTAGGCATCTCAGTATTTTAGGATATCATGGGATTGAGAGCCTAATATTCATCTGCCTTATGTCTATGTCCCCAGAGGCTGTCCTGAGAAACTGATGCAGGCAGAATATGTCCATTGATGCCAAGTAATGTCTGTCATAAACCAAGAGTCAGGAGAGCTGCACCATCTTTAATTTGTCTGAGACTCTTTCCTTATTTGTAAAACTGTAGGTCTGAACTAGATCATCTAAGTGTCTCCAAATTTTAACATTCAATTGTTCAATGATTGCATGAGCTTTTGTTTGTTTCACCAAAAAATGATGGCCTCAAAGAATAGGAGCAGAGTGTCTAGTGACTTAATACTCAGCTCCTGGAGAAATAGCGACTGCTAAGACCATGTGTCAATACCCATATCAGACATTCTCTGATTTATCCTAAAACATGAGTACTTTTTTTCTCCCAAAAGGATTTGGCCTTTACAGAGCTGAGGACCTGGTGTCAAAGACTGCATCTCTCCATCAGGCTAAGTCGCCTGCTGAAGATGCCATCAGGAAAACAAACTTGTGGGCTCCCTGATCTGGCCTTTTGCGTATCTTAGGACAGGGGTACGAACCCAGAGTCTTAGCTTTACACTAGCATCTGGCCTGTACTCAGATGCCCAGTGAGCGAGGGGCCTCTGGGAAGAGGCTACCTGACACCTTTCCTTCACACTATCTGCATCTCACTTCCCTGTCCCCAGCTTTATTGGCCTCTTGTCTATCAAAGGTGAGAAAACACACCAACCCTATGGAACAGTTCATCGACTGAGAGCCATGAACTTAAGGCTTCATATCCCAACACAGCTTTGGAGTTTCCAGCAGGTGAGCATGCAGTTCCTTTCTGTCCCCCAGATCTGCACTTCATCCTGATGTAGCTGAAAGCAGAAACCTCATGTCACATCCATGAAAGTCCTCCTTGTGGTTTGAAGAATGGATGCATGCGTGCTACACCATGGTATGGAAGGGGAACACCACTGCCCACAGGATGTACAGCCTTTACCAGCCCCACTGGCTCTAGCCCTACCAAGGTATGAGCAAGAATGGGGGGAGTCATAGAGCAACAATACAAGAAAGAAGGACCTGAAGACCATACTCTGCAAAGCCTTGTGGGAAGGATTAAATAAATTAGGTAAAGCCAGCTCGATGCAGATATATGGTGGAAGATACAATTTAGGGGCATCGAAAGTCAGTGCCAAAAGCATTAGACATACTTCCGATGAGAATGATTCACTTCAGAGAGATATAAAGAACCAGCATGATTATGAGAAGCACCTAAAAAGAAAGTATCAAGGAGTCAAGACATCCTCTCTGTGGAAGAGGTTAGAGCTGAATACAAGAATTATTGAGTGCCTGCTCTGGACCTGGCCTTAAGCTGGGCACACACAGGTTCTTCCACTCCTGAGGAGCCTACTGGACTGGCCATTGCTAACTCACCAGTCCTAGTCGGTCCAGCCTGCCCAGCAGGCATGGAGGCGGCTGAGAAGCAGATTCTCCCAAAAATTCTAAAGACACATACTCAGCATGGATAATCGAGCCAAGAGCTGAGACCTTCAGAGAGCCTTTTGCGGTGAGAGTTCTCTGAGATAATTCCAGGGGACCTAGTGGGATGTGGTCAGACAGCATTGTCACTGCAAATAATTAGAGGGAGTGTGGGATGGTACTGGGCAGTTTCAAATATGGCAAAATATCCCCTCTTAGCAAGCCCAGCAAGCCTTCCTCTGACCCGCTCTCCAACACCCATTTAACTTATAAAAATGTCATCAGCGCCCATGAGTGAGAAACATCACAATTTGCACTGTGCATGGGTCTCATTCTTATAGCAATGTGTCACCCTGTGTTTATCTCCTAAGCGTTTTTCCTTGGTGTACTATTCAGTAGTAATAACGACATCATGGGGCCAATCTTTGTTATGTTACTTCCAAAATGTGAAATCCAGTTGCTGTCAGTATATTCTCAGTATTGTACCAATCTCTCCTCCTCCTCATTCTTTCACAGAGAGGAGCTCATGTGTATCGTGGACTCACAGTCACGCATTGTAATTGAGGGGTGGGGAGGGGGACCTTTATGGGAGGGGCTAAAGGGCAGGAGTCCTTGTCCTCCTCCCCACCCGAACCAGAATGCGAAGGCATGCTGGAACACCCTTTCTCTGGGAAAGACTGAGGGGACGCCTAGGAAAATGGGAGCTGGCTTCAGTTGACCTGGGGAAAATCCTATAGCTGGAGCCAGGTTGTTTCTGAGGTTTCCATTTTCCAGCCTGGGATCCTGGAAAGAATTTCCATACAGAAATAAAGTATGTGTTTGATTATCTCATGTTTCTGTCTCATCTCCATACCGCACAGGAGGTTGAATGGAGTGGTACTATGAACCCTTGTAATCTGCATAGTCAGAAAGATGAAACTCAACACCCAGAAAACTCCTAACTCTGTGACTAAATGAGATGTGGGGACTGTTTCCAGGTGGGGATCTGGGAAGGTAAGGCGTAATTGTGTGAAGTGACCAGTGATGTCACCTGTGAAAAGAGCTGTGTCAGTTCAGGTCCTCCCAGAAGCAGACATCAAGACAGAGTTAGAAGTACAAGAGGTTTACTGGCAGGGGAATACCTGGGAAAGATAAAGAAAGGAGGAAACTGGAGTAGGCAGAGGAAGCCTGAGACCACCCTGCAGATCTGACACCTATGAAGCGAGGAGGAGGGGAGGGGTGGGCAGGAGACGCCTCACACTGTGGTGCAGCTCTGAGAAACTCTCAGTTGGCTCAACAGCATCTAAAGGTGCCCACAAAGAAAGCCTGCATTGGCATCAATGGCCAGGCCTGGTACTCCAACATGCTGGGTCACTAGCTGGGAGCTCTCTGGGGAGAGAGTGGTCTGACTTGAACACCATGATGGGTCCTGAAGGTGCTGCAGCTGGCGGCCATCAGCTGATGGCACTCCCTACACCTGGCCTCTCCTGAAGGGAGGTCCGAGCCAGGATTCCCACAACTGCCACCAGAGCTTTGGTCAAGGCCCCTGTGTTTGGGAACCATGTCAGGAAACCCTTGGCAGGATTTGAAACTTTAATGATGATCTCTGTCAGCCTTGGCAACCTGCATTCGACTTCCTGGGCCACCCTGTGCCACCTCACCTCTCAGGCACGTGCCCTCAAAAGAGCAATGAGCAGCTGTTCGCAGACTTACAATGACAAAGACAGTAAAGGCACTGAAAGAGGGAGTGACCCAACATACTTTGTTTTAGAAACAAATAATAAAGATGTTTCTGTTCAAACTAAGGCATCTTAAACTGAGGTGCCTGGATAAGCTTCAGTGAATCCACATATCCCCTATACGATCCCCATAAATCATATGCAAAACATTGTGTGTGTGAGCATGTGTGCAAAACCTAATTCTCAAAACTCACTCACCCTTGGCTCACCAGAGAAAGAGAGAAATTAAGCTATTTATAGGAGAGGGGCGAAGATCCATGAGACCTGCAGAGCACAGTGAGAGGTATATGTGCCCCAGGAGAACCAGAGGGGCTGCCGAGAAACCGGAAATAGCTTTGGAACAAGATCATAATTCACCTTCGGCTCCCGGAGGAGTTAAAGCCATAGAATGTCGTTGGAGATGTTTGTGGCAGTAAAAACACCAAATTTATAATTAAGGGGTGTGCTCACTTTTCTCTATGGGAATACGAGTATTTGTTAGCTGAGGAAAGACTAAACTTATTTATAGGCCAACAAATAATGCCAGCGGTGGAGTATGAACATTCCCATGGAAACGCAGGACGTTTTCACTTATTTCTGTGTAGGCACAGGCTACACACCAGGGACACTTGGCCTCAGGAGCCACCCTGGCTTTGGTAATAGCCACCCCCGTCCCCCCAGGGCTCCTCAAGTCCCTTTCATGGAGTACATGACCTCCTCAGCTCTGGAACCCAAGAGAGGGGATTTCAGTCAAAGCCCCAACTTGAAGTGAGCAAAATAGTACACGCCAAGAATGTCCCTCTCCCTCATCTTCAGAGGTGACGGGAGCATCTGACTGTTTTCCTGGACTCCATGGGCAAAGTTCTGAGACAGCCTCATGTATTTCTCCCCAGGTCAGGAAAAGAGGGAGGACAGGGAATGAGGCCACAGAAGGGCGTGCCTCATGAGCTGCAAATGCAACATACAGCAGTTGCAGCCTTTGGTCTTGGCTACTGTCTCGAGCAGCTCAGCTAGCGGAGAAAAGGCTGCTCATTAGAAACAAGTGACTAAAAGGACATCAGCACTGACATGAGCCAGATGGGTGGGCTGCCCTGGCCCCATCACTCTGGGACGTCATGTTAGCAGTGTATATTCTGCCAGCTTCGGAGATTTCCGTACAGACAGATTTAAGCCCAGGTCCTCTGCGGTGTGTGCACATGAGTCCTTTCTCTATTCTCTCTTCTCTCTCTCTTTTTTTATGCCCAGTTTCCCTTCACTCTCCACTCTTTAGTCCAACTTTGTTACTATCCCTGGAAACCTCTCTCCTAACACTGCCTCTGCTGGAATCTCTGTTTTCTCTCCACCACTCTGGATGTCTTCCTGGTACACTCGTTCATAAGGAGAGGATGTGGCCTGACAGTGAGAACCCACCATCTCTGACAAATCTCCTTTTTCCGTCTCCCCAAATCTCCCGTTGCTCACTCCAAGCACATGCCCACCCACACTTTCCCTTCATCTCCTAATCCCCAACTCCCACTCGCCCACTCTCCCAAGTTGAGGTAACTTTCAGAGTAGGGCTCCTGACTTAGTTCCAACACTTAAAAGAAGCAGCTGAAGCAACAGATCCAGCCTCTAGTCTCAGCCGGGAGAACGGCACACTCCAGAAGGATATCAGATTCCAGGGCTATCGTCTCCTAACCAGGCCGACACACGGATCTGAAGAAGGATGTTAGTGCGTGGAGAGGCCGCGGCACCCAGTGCAGGAAGGAAGTGCACGCTCACTGCCCGTGAAGCCCATTCCGAGTTTGATTTCTCCTCTGCCCTCTGCTGACTCCCTGGCCCACGCCCATTGCCCTCCTATCCCATAACCACCATCTGAAGGAGTACTTGTTTTGGCAGAAGTGTCCTGTGGGGCAAGAACTATTCCTCAAAGATGGCAGCCCCACGGGCTAGACCAGATAGTCAAACACAGATGC